TGGTCTCTTTCAGAAAAGCCAGAGTGGGTGCGACGTGGGGTAGCTGTAAGTAACACGCTCAGAGGAAGGGGTGGTTTTGCTTCTGTCTGGGAAAGGCCTCCTGGTGACTGCGGTTGACTTTGGGGGAGTTGGGGTGTTCTTTTGTTATAAAATGAAGCTGTGTCATACGGAAGAGTCCTTCACCTCTCCTAAGCCTTCCCCTCCTAGAGCAACACCATCAGTGAGATCCGGTCGTAACTGATGTAAACAGCGGCTAAGCAATTCAAGCTGCTGATGCGGGAGAAATTGCGGCTTTAGCGCTTCACGTGCTGGTCCGGGTCCACAGAGCGGGTGGGCTGTTGGCTTCATGCCGGGTTTGTCATTTTTCAGAAAGCGGTTCTGACTCTGAGGACAGTTTCGGAAATACGGGAAAAAGAGGTAGATACGTGGAGGCGGGGGGTGTGCAGAGGGGGAGCAGGTACAACTAATCTTAAGGGGCCAGCAGCAACTGCACCCCAACCTAGTGAGCAACAGACCTGATTCTTTATGGAGACAGTAGTGCCTTTGATGAACCAAGTGCACGTCTGTGTCCTGGGGGAGCTCACAGGGAAGAAGGGCCAGCACTCGTGGGCTGGTCGTCCAGCGAGAAGCTCAGACTTGTCCCACAGCTGTGAGCACGTGCAGACTGAGCTGGCGCTGTAGCACCTGAGCACATCCGCTCAGGAACGGGAAGCTAGTTTCGCCTACGATCCATCAGGTTTCAAAGATCACTCTCCTCTCTCTTTCCTTCTCAGGGTTTGTTGGAGACACTGCAGATGAGTTTCAATTGAGAGTTTTCCTGGAGTTCTTCAATACTTAACACTGTCTTAAAATCTTCCATTAAGTATTCTGCTCCCTCTGTCCGAGCCTGCAGTTTCCTTCGTACACAGAGCGGAAGAGGCGGGGGGCTTCAGCGGCGCTTGCTGAGTGAGCACTGTTGCAAGGCTGAGAGGAAGCAGCCTCCCGAATGAGTAACTGCAAAGTGTAAGCAGACGCCATCCTCAGAAACTAATATTTCCTGCCGTCTTTCTGACTTGACTTAGCCTGTCCAGTCCAGAAGTCCTGGCCGATCCAAGGGGGGAAACTGCGATTATTGCTCTATTCCCCATAGCAGTATTTCTTGCTATGAGTTGGAACTGACTTGTCAGAAATTTTTTTTTTTTTTTTTTGTGGTTAAGAACTTGGCTACTAACCAAAAGGTCAGCAGTTTGAGTCCACCAGCTGCTCCTTGGAAACCCTATGGGGCAGTTCTACTCTGTCCTGTAGGGTTACTGTAAGTCAGAACTGACTTCATAGCACCTAACAACAACAAAACAACAGTAGTAATACTGGAGCCCTGGTGGCGCACTGGTTAAGAGCTACGGCTGCTAACCAAAAGGTCAGCAGTTTGAATCCACCAGCCGCTCCTTGGAAACCCTATGGGGCAGTTCTACGCGGTCCTGTAGGGTCGCTGTCAGTTGGAACAGACTCTGTGACAGCAGGTTTGGTTTGATTCGGTTTGGAATGATGCCAGCAAGCCATCGTGTGCCCTCCAGGCTCAAAATGACCTGAAGAAACGTCCACCACCAATTTGAGGACGGGTTGCTTTCGTTTCAAAAGGACCTGAAATGCCCCACTGTCTTCTAGCAGACTGGCTTTCAGAAAGGAAGGCAACAGGGTTTTTTAAGCACAACAACAAATGCATTTTACGTTACAGCCCCGAACACACAATGTCTAAAACTCACAGTTTTACAAAATGATGCATACACTCTCTACGTGTGCTACAGTCTGCTATTCTCTACTCCACTCTGTTTTTTTTAAAATGCTGCCTATGGCTTCCTAACTGGAGTGTGCAGCTGGTTTTAAAATCCGTACCCCAGAGGATAAAGTGTTACCTGTGCTGGTGGTCTCCGGACAAAGTCTCGGCAGGGCTTGGCTCTAATTCCTGTCCTCTGGACCTTCTGCATGCCGGCCTCCGCGGTTATTACCCTAACACGGAGTGGTCACAGGGGTGGGAAATACAGCTGAAACAGAAAGCCCTGGTGCCAGGAAGGAGGTCCCACAGTGGGGCTGGGCACATTGCAGGCTGCTCCCGGGGACACCTGGCCTTGTGTCTGGGACAAAGTGTCTGTGGGGGGCACCTGAAGACGAGACCTCTGGGCATAAAACCAGGGCCTTTGCCCTGGGGCTTGTGATATGGGCTCTGCTATCAGCCCAGCCTGGAGTCTGTGGACCCTGCTGCTCAGGGACCTGAGTTGCTTTCTCCCAGTCAAGCCTCTAGAAGGCTCAGGAGACCCATGTGTCAGCCCTGAGGGGAGAGAGCCTACCTCTCCAGGCAAGAAAGTGTCTTGCTTGTAAGTACTGGGGACAGAATCTGAGGAAGGGTAGGGGGTGCTGTCTCCTAGTAGGGGAAGACGTGCAGGGTACATGGCAGGCAGTGGTAACATGGACCTCATCTGGGGTGGCACCTGGCTGGGCATCCTGACTCCCAGTTCCTCCCGAGTGCCTACCCCCAGGATGGTCCTCTGCACCAAGACTTGGCGAATGCCTACTGGTGTCAGGCGCTGGCCTACGGGCTGAGGCGGTGTGTCTCCAGCATCATGCGTGCCATTCAGGGTGTTCACTGAGGGGTGTACCTGAGGGAGGCAGTGCAACAGAAAGTCTTGATACAGAACGATGGGTGGAAGAAGGTGCTGCGGTAACCGCCAATGGGAAACATGTCTGGGGGCCACAGTGACCCCAATCCAGACTTCCCGGAGAAGGATGCCTGTAGAACGTACGATGAGAACTTGGGAGTGGAGGGCAGGTAGGGCATGCCGGGCCACAAGACTACTGGTGCAAAGGCCGGAGTATATGAAATAGCAAGCGGGGCTGTGCTATCCGCCAAAACATTGGGTGTGTCAGATGATGTAATGGAGTACCTAAAAAAGCAGATCATAAAGGATCCTGGGGAGCCCCGGGGGCACGGTGGTTAAGAGCTACAGCTGCTCACCAAAAGGCTGGCAGTTGGAATCCACCAGCCGCTCCTTGGAAACCCTATGGGGCAGTTGTACTCTGTCCTATGGGGTCGCTATGAGTCCAAATTGACTCGAGGGTAGAGGGTTTTTTTTTCCCCTTTATTGTACTTTAGATGAAGGTTTACAAACTAGCTTCCCATTAAAGAGTTAATACACACATTGTTTTGTGACATTGGCTGCCAACCCCACGACGTGTCCACACTCTTCTCTTCTGCACCTTGGGTTCCCCATTACCAACCTCCCTGTCCCCTCCTGCCTTCTTGTTCTTGCCCCTGGGCTGGCGTGCCCATTTAGTTCCGTTTTGTTTCATGGGCCTGTCTAATCTTTGGCTGAAGGGTGAACCTCGGGAGTGGCTTCATTACTGAGCTCTAAGGGTGTCCGGGGGCCATACTCTTGGAGTTTCTCCGTCTCTGTCAGACCAGTAAATCTGGTCTTTTGTGTGTGTGTGCGTGTGAGTTAGATTTGGTTTGGTTTTGAGGGATCCTGTATCCATCTCTAAATCTAACATAATCGACCTCATCCCGTCACTAACTAGCGAGGAGCCCCTGAAGGGGTGCGAAGAGCCCAGTTAGCATTGTGGTTCCATCTACGTTTTAGAAAGGTCACCCTGCCTGTGGGCTGGAGGCTGGGCTGGCCAGGAGCTCAGTTAGTCGGCTGCAGGTGGAAGTGATGGCAGCACGCATGGGTGAAGAGAGACTGAGAAGAAGCGATCCACAGGATCAAACAGCTGGATGTGGGATTAGAGGAAGAGGAAGACTTTCAGATTTCTGGCTTAGACGCCTGAAGCGCCAGCAGGCGTAGCTGGAGGAAACGGCGGTAGCAGGTTTTGGGGGAGAAGTAGCAGAATGGGTTAGAAATGGCATTTCAGTGTTCCCTGTGGACTAGGGATATTATCTACCTACCTCTGTATACATAGCTACGCATATTCCCATTTAATCTGCGTCAAGACTTTCAGGGGTGTCATTCTGGTTTTTCAGATACTGGCTTAGATGCACGATACAGTATAACAAGTAGAATGGCTGAGCCAGCCCTGGTACCCATGTGGGTTAAATGCTGCTGCTTCCTCATTTTGCACACGTTTAAGTTTAAGACGCCTGTTGAGTTTCCACATGAAAAATTACAGAAGGAAGATAACTCTATAGATTTGAGGCTCATGAAAATAATGTTGGTTAGAAAGAGAGACTATTCTTTTTTTTCTGGGGTGGGGCGGAGAGTGTGCAACGATCACCACTATTTATTTCAAAAACTTTTTCATTGCCACCAACAGACACTCTGTATCCATTAAGCAATAACTGCCCGTTTCCTTCTCTCCCAGGTCCTGGTGGCCTCTAATCTACGTTAGTCTCTATGCATTGGCCTATTCTAGATATTTCATCTATGGAGGATCGTACAATATCTGTCCTGTCATGTCGGGCATGATGTTTTCAAGGTTCACCCATGTCATAGCATGCATCGGGACTTTATTTCTCTTTTGGATTATGGCTTTTGAGAAGCCTGTTTCGACTCCTTGATTTTGAACTTTGATTAAAAAAAAAAAAAGTCTTATTCCTGGGGCAAGCTTTAATAGACTTTTTAGTGCTGGGACCTTTCTTTTCATCCAGTAGTTTGCCATGAACTGTATAGCTACTTTCTTCTTGACTATATTCAAGCCAATATATTCATGGATATACCCATTTGAAAAATCTGAACTTTAAGTATACAAGATGATAGCTATTTTGGATGCTTTGTTTTTTTTTTTAAGGCTGAGAGGAGAAAAGGGTCTGTTTTCCGAATGGGAAGACAGTATAGAGTAGTTCTTTCTCCTTCCCCATGCGCCCCTAAAAATGTAGGTAGCTCTTCGCCTCTGCTAAATACTGATTGCCTCATTACTGTTTGTCCACATCACTCAGGTTACATTTGGTTTTTCAGGAATTAGGAGTAGTTTGTTTCCTTTTGGTAACTAAGTAGCCCATTTACTTTCATCTTTTCTCTTTACGACTCCAACAGGTCTCATTTAAGAGTTCACAGAGGAAGTACATGAGAGAGCTGCATGAGGTTCCTCACTGACCTCAACAAAGGATGCCAGCGTGGAGAAGCTTTGTGGTTCCAGCGTCTACATTCCACACTGTGCTCCGTATCTTGTTTAACAGGAAGCTCCTTTTTCATTTTTAATTATCACTATGTATTAAGATGGACATCTGTTCTGAAGACTACACAGTTCTATGGTCTCCCAGAAGCCAGTACGCATTTAAAACGGATCCCAAATAGAAGTAGACCTGAATGGATATGAGGATGTTTGTTGGCAGCAGGAGAGTCAAAAAATGGCTGTTTTTTCAATTACTTGCCACTTGTTTTATACTAAGCCTCATGTGTTTTTGGATCCCATTGGATAACCACATCCTAAGCCACATGAAGTCCTACTCTTACAGATACCTCATAAATAGCTACGACTTTGTGAATGACACCTTGTCTGTGAAGCGCAGCTCCGAGGACATTCCTAGCTTCCAGTACTTGATCAACCATGATAAGAAGTGTCGAGCACAAGACGTCCTCCTCCTGCTGTTTGTAAAGACTGCTCCTGAAAATTACGAACGTCGTTCTGTGATTAGAAGAACGTGGGGCAATGAGGAGTATGTTCGGTCCCAGCTTAAGGCCAACATCAAAACCCTGTTTGTCTTGGGGACTTCTTCCAATCCACTGAAGCGGGAAGAATTACAAAGACAACTAGTTCGGGAAGATAAAATGTATAATGATATAATTCAGCAAGACTTTGTTGATTCTTTCTACAATCTTACTCTTAAATTACTTCTTCAGTTCAGTTGGGCCAATACCTTTTGTCCACACGCCAAATTCCTTATGACTGCCGACGACGACATATTTATTCACATGCCAAATCTTGTCGAGTACCTTCAAAGTTTAGAACAAATTGGTGTTCAAGATCTCTGGATTGGTCGTGTTCATCGTGGCGCCCCTCCCATTCGAGACAAAAAGAGCAAATACTACGTCTCCTATGAAATGTACCAGTGGCCGGCTTACCCCGACTACACGGCTGGTGCTGCCTACGTGATCTCCAATGATGTCGCCACCAAAGTCTACGAGGCATCACAGACGCTTAACTCTAGTCTCTACATAGACGATGTGTTCATGGGCCTCTGTGCTAATAAAATGGGGATTGTACCACAATACCATGTGTTTTTTTCTGGGGAAGGTAAAACTCCTTATCATCCATGCATCTATGATAAAATGATGACATCCCATGGACATGTCCAAGACCTTCAGAAACTTTGGGAGGATGCCACAGACCCTAAAGTAAAAACGATTTCAAAAGGTTTTTTTGGTCAAATATACTGTAGGTTCATTAAGATAGCTCTCCTTTGCAAACTGAGCTATGTCGACACTTACCCTTGTAGGGCCGCGTTTGTCTAGTAGTACTTGAATGTTGTTTGTTTTCACTGTCACTGAGCCAAACCTGGATGAAAAACCTTTCAATGTGTGTCTATACCCAAAGCAAAATGAATACGAGAGACAGAGATTTTGAAAGCCCAGTCTCTCAGAATGTTTCCTGGAGTCTGCCTACAAGCTGTTCAGTATAACTTATCTACTTCATTGCCTAAATTCATTTCAAGGGGTTTTATATTTAGAAAATGTTTATATGAAAACAAAAACCAAAGGGAAACTCAAGTTCTCACTTAAAGCCAGTATATGGAACTGCTTTCGGAAAATACCAGTTGAATGTACAGTATAGCATTTTAAAGAAATGAATCTATTGTTGGACCAGGTATACATACAGGTTTAATTTTATGAAAGAGCACTTGGCAGAGGTGGCAACGGGAGGGACGCTGGCACAGGAGAAAGAACATGAATCTAGTAAAAGAAAACCTCCTCTCATTGAGAGGCGATTTAGAAAAGTACACAAGGTGCAAGACGAACAGCCAGATCATGTACTGTCACATCCATGTAGCTACTGTATCAAAATAGTGTTGGACTCACTGAAAATATGTTCATGTATTTTTTTCAAAGCTCGATGTGAAATGTGAGAAAAGTCGTTAACTCTACCCTAACTGGTTCCTTATGTGGCTTTTTTTGAATATTAGAAAATGACACAAAACCCGGGCACTTTGTTACCCGTAACGTCCTTCCCTCGGGAGGAATCGCCGCTAACTCACATAAGCTGGTTTTAATTTCATGAATTTTCAACTGGTTTTTAAATATCCCAAATTGGTCTATATATAAGGTAATTATTTAAATGCGGTTTGCAGAGAAGAATAATGGAGAAAGCTTCAAAAGGAAAGACAGAACATTAAAAGCCTCTTTCTCTACATAATTTATAAAATACAATTCTTTGTGTCTCAATCATTGTAATGATTACTAAAATTAGCCCACCTCTCCCTGGCAAGGTCTCATAAACCATCGTTTGTACTTTGTTCCAAGTTTAGGATTTTTAATTGAGAGCATTAAACATCAATTCAAAGCAAAAGCACCTTTACAAAATCTCTTCTTTACTTAAAATAACCATTATAGGTGATCTTCAACTTTTAAATACTTCCAACTGGAAAGCAGAAAGGAACTGATAGGAAAGTTACTGGAATGAGGCTAAAGCATTTGTAAAGCTGCGTATTTCTTGCACTCAAAGAGATGTAGCTAAGCTCTAACAGATAGTCACATTTATTTTGTAAAAACCAGACCAAGCCTGTTGCCACTGAGTCAGCTCCAACTCACAGCGACCCTACAGGACAGAGTAGAACTGCCCTGTAGGGTTTCCAAGGAGTGGCTGGTGGATTCAAACTGTCGACCTTTTGGTGAGCAGCTGTAGCTCTTAACCACTGCGCCACCAGGGCTCCTTTAAGGCAGGATAAAAATGTGACCACGAGGCAAACAACCGCCCCTCACCGTAGAAAGAACTAGGTGATGGCAGTCGCAAGGGGGATTAGGTAAAGGCCAAAACAGTCCCCGCAGCAAAAGCAGTTGAACTGATTGTAAACTGCTGGCTGCAGAGACCCACTGAGAAAAGCTACGAGGCGTCTTTCGTAAGATGATGTCTGACGCACACAAAACAACGGAAGAATTCTCAGTAGATGTAACTGGATGATGTCTGTAACCTAGCAGGCAGCTTTTTAATGTTTACAGAATTTTTTTTTGTTAATTTATTTTCTATTTTGGAAATTGAGGCTTGTTTACATTGCTCAGATAATTTAGTATTGTTTAACCAGCATCAAAATGTCGCTGTCAAACATTCTAGGTTGTGGCTGCTTTCAGAGTAGGTTCAGGGATTTTTGATCATTACAGTTTAATTTTTCTGACTCATTTTTAAAAGTGTAGAGAACCAAAGCGTATTTTGACGAGGCACATTTAAAATGAATTTTTACTAGTTGATTCTTGAAGAGCCATTGGTCTTTTGGCCACATATACCCTGTGTATCGATACTTGTAACTGTTTCAATTTGCCATTGGTTGGAAACATCGTGTCCATTGAGCTGTGGAGATGATCCTGTTTACAGCAGTACTCTGTGAAACAATTATTTATCTGCTGATAGAGTTCTCCTGAACTGTGTTCACTTTTTATTTTTGCTTAGAATAGAATGCGACAGGTTTAAATTTGAAGGAAATATGGACACTTCCTTTTTTTTTTAATAAGAGGAAGTTGCTAGATGCTTCCTTTAATCAGACTTAAAGTACTGAGAAGAGTATTGTAAATAAAAGGTCTCCAACCTTTTAAAAAGGAAAGGAAGAAAAAACTTTTTGGTGCTCCAATGCAGGGTTGTGTTTTTAAAAATGTCAACAAAGGGGGAAAGAAAAAGAAAAACCAAAACCCTACCAGCCTGGATGGTCGCCTGAGTAGAAGATGGACGTCCACAGTGTTACCGCCAAAACCTTTTTACCTCTTGGCTGGTTTGCGTATTTTTTCCATATTACTGATTTTATATTAAAAAAAAAGTTGAATATTTATATTTGAATTTTGCTCTTGTATGGCAAAATAATTAGTGGGATTAAAAAAAAATAAATCTATGATTTCCAATAAACGACTTAAAAACTGTCAGCAGATGTGTATTTTCACAGAAGTTTTTAAATTCCTGTGTGAACATCAGTTGTTTATATAATCAACTCACTCTGCTTAATGTCAGAGAGGCATGTGCTACACGATCTTAGTCCCGTTCCTGTTCAGACACGTTGCTGTGCCCAGGATACAGGGTTACTGTATCCTCTGCATCGGGGAGCCCCTTAGAACACCTTTTGTTTGTGAAATGACCTATGCTGGAATGTCTAAGCAGGCAAATGTTCTCTCCTAATTGTGCAGGAAGGGAACTTGTTGAAATCTTGGAAGTCCATCCCTGACCCCGTCCCTTCCTGGAGCATATCCACTTGCCCCCTCCACCACAGATACATAATCACATATATTACTGTATTACCTACTAATTGTTGCAGGTGTTCTTCCCTCATGAAACTGTGAGTTCTGAAGGCAGGGATTCTGCACAGTGCTATCACATAGTACTCAAAATCATTACAGTAGTCTCACCTTAGCCAAGGGTCTGCGGTTTTAGTTACCTGCGGTCAACCTCAGTCCGCAGTGCCTGTGTTCCAGTAACCCTTATTTTACTTAATTAACAGCCCCAAAGCGCAAGAGTAGTGATGCTGGCAATTCGGATATGCCAAAGAGCAGCCGTAAAGTGCCTCTATTCTATTCTTAATTACTGTTAATGTTTTACTGTGCCTACTTTATACATTAAACTTTATCATAGGTATGTATGCACAGGAGAAAACATAGTATATACAGGGTTCAGTATTAGCCTCAGTGTAGGCGCCCATGGGGATCTTGGAATGTACCTCCCGTGGATAAGGGGGGACTACTGTATTTTTTTCAAATACAGTGAATAAGGCAATAGAGATAAAACTATGACAGCAAAGACTGGTGGTCTTCAGGTGTCCATCAAAGCTGGTGGCAGAACAGAAGCAGCAGAGCTATAGATTCTCCCGTCCCCAGTTTAATCCGCTTGCTAATTTGTCATCTCTTAAAGTTCTTTCCGGAGACTCATAAAGATATTTTTGTTTCATTAGTTCAGTGCCATGACTTTTTCTCTTTGTATGCCTCATCAGAAATGCGATTTAATGCTTCCCTGTAAATTAATACAGTAATTCATCAATGACCTAAAAGGTCTCATTTAACTAAGACTTAAAATGATAAAAGTAGGCATGGGTTTTGGTAACAGAAGCATCCCAAAAGATACTGCCGCTTAAGGAGAACAACGGAACACAATGCGGAGTGGCGCTTCACAGAGACGACCCCACTACACGTACCCTCACTGTCAGGTATGCTGGCTTGGGCCATTTACTGGAACTCAGGGATACATGTCAATCTGCAGGACCCCACATGTGTTTTCTCGAGTAAACCTTAAGTAGTCCAGTTAAACTAATACTGGCTTTTAATCAAGGAGCAAGTTCCTGAAGACGTTTGTTCATTCACTCTACAGGTGTTTTTGAGGGCCTGCTAAGAGCCAAGCATTATGATAGAACCTGGGGACTAATGGAGGTCACATGTCATTTGGTGTGAGTGTAAACAATGGGACAGTGCCGGAATAGTGGTTACGATGGGGAGTCTTAGTATAAAGAACATTTAAAAAAAATTAATATCTCCTTATGCTTTTGGTCTTTACCTTCTTAATTCAGACTTTCTGAATTCCATAGCATTCACGTACATGGAAACACCTTGCTGTACACCAAAATTAGCACTACATTTGTATAAACTGTGTCTGTTGGGGACCAACAGCCTTTAAATGCTCTTAAACCAAATAACTCAGTCGATAGTAAAATTAATTTACCTTTACTACTTTTCTTTTTATCTTTAAGTTTTTTTTATTGTGCTTTAGATGAAAGTTTACAGAACAAAACTAGCTTCTCATTAAACTGTCAGTACACAAATTGTTTTATGACATTGGTTAACAACCCCACGACATGTCAACACTCTCCCTTCTCGACCGTGGGTTGTTTCCTATTACCAGCTTTCCTGTCCCCTCCTGCCTTCTAGTCCTTGCCCCTGGGCTGGTGGGCCACTTTAGTCTCATTTTTGTTTTATGGGACTTGACTACTTTCTTGATAAAATTTTTTTTAAACACTGGGTGTCCTCAGAAAGGGAGCCCTGGTGGTGCAGTGGTTTAAGTGCTTGGCTGCTAACTGAAAGGTCAGCAGTTGGAACTCACCAGCTGCTCTTCGGGAGAAAGATGTGGCTGTCTGCTTCTGTGAAGACTGCAGCCTTGGAAACCCTATGGGGCAGTTCTACTCTGTCCTATAAAGACACTCTGGGTTGGAAATGGCAACAGGTATCCTTAGAAGCTTGATTTATAAGATGATCATTTTTAGCCCTTTTGCTTGTTGCTTTTGTGAGGTTCGTGAGTTTTGTCCTTAGGTATTTCAACCGATACAGATGAAGGTTAGCGTTTAGAATATTGTGATTTTATTTGGGAAAGTGATGCAGTATAAAACAGACGATCTCCTCCTTGCCCCCCCACCCCGCCCCGCTACTCCCATGGGGATAAAAATGACTCCTACAAACAGATTCTGCCAGCTTACCTGCTGGGGGAAAGATTTTGAAGACCGTCAAGCTGTTCCAATTCAGGGTTCTCCAAATCTGGACGACTTTCAACCACTTGTTCATTCTAAAGTGAAAGAAATGCTCGTAAGATAGTCTATTTGGTGTTTTGGGGGCCTTCTGATCCATGTTCCCACCCCCATTTCTTTGTTTTGGCTTTCTTTTCTATTTTTTGAAAAAAAAGTTCTAGATGAGCAACAGTTTCTCACCTTGCTCTTCCGTTCTCGGGTTTTTGCCGCCTCTCTGCGGATCTGGTACAGTTTTCCCTCCCGTTGTTGTCAGGTGCCATCAAGTCGATGTTCGACTCAAAGTGACCCCATGCGACAGAGCAGAACTGCCCCAGAGGGTTTTTTCTAGGCTGTAATCTTTAAGGGAGCAGATCACCGGGTCTTTCTCCTGTGGAGGCTCTGGTTACCAGCCAACCATTGTTGTACCGCCAAGGTTCATGTCAAAAACTCATTCTCAAAAGCAGGTGTCTTTTTGTCTTTAATAACAAAGGACTATAAACATTGCAGGAGCCTGGGTGGCACAAAGGGTTTGTGCTCAACTACTAAGAGCTGGCAGTTTGAACCCACCCAGCAATATCTTGGAAAAAGGCCTGGTGATCTGCTTCCGTAAAGATTACAGCCAGAAAACCACTATGGAGCAGATATCTAGTCTGTGATACATGGGGTAGCTATGAGTCAACAGCAACAGATTTGGCTGGGTTTTATTAACGTCGTACTTTTCCCCCACTGAGTCATAAAAAAGATTCAGATTTATTTTTTATTGTGCTTTAGATGAAGGTTTACAGAGCAAATTAGTTTCACATTAAACAATTAATACACCTCTTGTTTTGTGACATTGGTTGCCAATCCCACGATGTGTCAACACTCTCCTCTTGACCTTGGGTTCCCCATTATCAGCTTTTCTGTCCCCTCCTGCCTTCTCGTCCTTGTCCTTGGGCTGGTGAGCCCCTTTAGGTTCGTCTTGTTTTGTGGGCCTGTCTAATCTTTGGCTGAAGGCTGAACCTGAGGAGTGACTTCATTACTGAGCTACAAGGGTGTCCATGAGCCATTCTCTCAGGGTTTCTCCAGTCTCTGTCAGACTAGTAAGTCTGGTCTTTTTTTTTTTTTGAGTTAGAATTTTGTTCTACAATTTTCTCCAGCTCTGTCTAGGACCCTCTATTGTGATCTCTGTCAGAGCAGTCAGTACTGGTAGCCAGGCACCATCTAGTTGTGCTGGACAAGACTCAGAATTTGAGCTAGAAAAGACAATAAAGAGATCACTTGATTCAATATCTTTATTATTTTGGTAAATAAATCATGGGGTCTGGTGAAGTTGTGATTTGCCGAAGGCCAGAAAGGATGGCTAGAGGTAGAGATAAGCCCAGTCTCCACTTTCACAGACTGGTGATCAGAAGTCCACAAGCGTGCCAGCTAACTGAAAGGCTGAAGGTTCAAGTCCATCCAGAGGCACCTCGGAAGAAAGGCCTGGTGATCTACTCCTGAAAAATCAGCCACTGCAAAGCCTATGGAGCACAGTTCTAGTCCGACACGCATGGGGTGTCTATCCGTCAGACTCAGGTTGACGACGACTGGTTTCTCTTTCACTTAGCAAAATGCCGTTAAGATGCCGTCCTGGTGTCGCCTGTATCAGTAGCGAATTCCTTTTTAGTGCTGTGTCGCATTCCGTTGGGCAGGTGCGCCACAATTTGTTTATCCTTTTCGAGCAACATTGTAATTCATACACTGGAAACATCACTAGGGCTTTATAAATCAGGCGGCAGCTCTGTTTAAATGAGTTGTTTTACATTCTCAGTAAAGAGAGTGTAGATTCACAGAGGGTCTCGTTCAAAAGTATTGCTAAGGGAAATTTAACGAGGAAAACAGAGACTTTCCTTGCAAATTAGAGCTGGAATTTGAAGAATGAGATTTCCCCAGGCAGGGGGAGAGTTGTGGGGAAGTCTCTCTGCAAACTAGGTGAGAACCACAGACCCCTCAGCCAGCTGTCGAGGACACAGGGAGAGACACCTCCCCGGGACTCACAGAAAGCCATCAAGGTGAGGTGCTCTTATCACCCACGCCGACCACAAAATGAGCAATTAAAAAATGTTTGGTGGATGAAAGAAAACCATGGATCTTCAATCTTTTTCGCAGCTGTCTTCCCAAATCTGGTATCCTATCCAAGAAGCAAACAACCAATAAAAGAGTATCTGGGATGCCAGTTTTGCCAGCTCAGCTCTACAATACGAGGGCAATCTTGCATTCCAAGTTCGTATATTTTTTTCTTTTAAAAAATGATGTCGCTTAACTAAGAATCTAAATTTTTAGTTCCCTCTATTATATATATTTGACCAGAAATTAGAAAATATTTTCCATGAGTCAGCATGTGGAAGTAAACTGCAGTCACAGGACTTAAAACCAATCTAGTTATTTCTACCACACTACCATTTTCTGTACAAAGCTGAATTACATTAACATGGCAGTCAATGTCACCTAATATCCCTTTCTAGTTCCACATCTATGATGTTATCTTTGCCTGAAATACCCACTGGACTTTGAGCTCCCGAGGGCCTATGTATCTTTGGATCCTCTACATGTAATAATATAAGGCCTGCATAAAGAGTAACCCCTGTTACTAACAAAACTTCCTCCTACTTGCTTATAGACGAATTGCACTCTTTCCAGCTCTGCAGATCTGTTGTGGCTCGTGGTGACCCCACGTACATCAGAAGGAAATCATGCCCAGTCCTGCGCCATCTTCACAATTGTCCACATGCTTGAGTCTATCATTGCAGCCACTGTGTATTTTAAGTGCCTTCCAACCCAGGTAGCTCATCTACCAGCGCTACACTGGACAATATTCTGCTGTGACCCATACGGTTTTCACCAGCTGCTTTCTGGAAGCAGGCCTTTCTTCCTCATCTGTCTTAGTCTGGAAGCTCTGCTGAAACCTGTCCACCATAGGTGACCCTGCTGGTATTTGAAATGCCAGTGGCATAACTCCCACCATCACAGCAACACGCAAGCCACCACAGTACCACACACCGACAGACGGGGAGCGGACTGATCTACTGTTAGTAGATAGATTGCACAGCCTCTTATTTCGTAATAACCTAGTGACGGAAACAGCAATAACTCAAGGTGTAGGCGTAGACTTGGTCCTCTTTTACACTAAATGACGACATCCCCTTATTTTACAGACTTTGTCATGAGGTGCCCTCATGAGCTTGCTGAAACGCCTTCACCCCATGTTCCTGCTGCCATATGTCAGACAGCTGGTGTGGGGTGGAGGGACACTGCTCTGCCAACTAAGCCTGGCTGCAGTACAACACTGGTGCTGTTGAGGATCAATGGGAAGGACCCACAGCAGGCCTGGGGGGTTCTTGAACAAGAGCCCACAGTGAGGAAGTTAACCACACTGGCTACCAATGTTTTGCTAAGGTGTAGACAAATACATTGTGCTGTAGCGCAGTGGTTTTCAAAAGCCAACCAAACCCACGAGAAGCATGTTTATATCACAACACGCACACACATACGCTGCAGAAAACCCCCTTTTCACTTATATTCTAACTTTCCTTTACTACAGATGACACATTCTTTTTTAATGAGGCTATTCCACTGCAGGATCCCTGGTGGCACAGCAGTTAAAGTGCTAGGCTGCTAAGTGAAAGTTGGCGGTTCCAAATCTCCAGCAGCTCTGCAGGAGAAAGATGTGGCAGTCTGCCTCTGTAAAGGTTTACAGCCGTGGAAACCCTATGCGGCAGTTCTACTCTGTCCCACAGGGTCTCTAGGAGTCAGAATCGACTCAACAGCAGTGGGTTTGGTTAGTTTTATTCCACTGCGTTCTACTATTTTATTCATTTTTAAATGCTGGTGAAACCCCCAAATGGAGTTCACTATCACCATTGTGACCTATAATTTCAAAACCTCTTATAAAGTCAAAAGAGCATTAAACCTGGGTTTGAGAGGCAGACCTGGGTAGGAGTAGCTGGTATACTTTTCATTTAAAAGTAGCCTTGGTCAAGACTTAAATTCTCTGCCTCTTAACTTCTCTCATCTGTAAAACAGGGATAATTACATTTACATCACAGGGCTGCTGTGATTACAGATAATCTCAGAAAATGCTTAGCACAAAGAAAAGCTTAATAAATGGCACTTATAATTGGCTCAGAGCCCTGGTGGCACAGTGGTTAAGAGCTCAACAGCTAACGAAAAGGTCAGAAGTTCAAATCGACCAGCTGCTCCTTGGAAACCCCATGGGGCAGTTCTACTCTGTCCTGTAGGGTCACTAGGAGTCGGAAGCAACTCGAAGGCACTCAACGACTATTAGCTCCTTAGTATCCACCTCGTAAGGACGGAGTGAGGCAATGGACGTAAAGCACCCCGCACACTGCCTGACCCCTAGCAAGTGCTGGGCAAAAGCTACCTATTTGTGTATAATACAGACCTCAATATTACTAACTAGCTGTGGGATCTGGACCAAGTCACCTAATCTCCCTGGGCATCTACTTTCTTCTGTGTAAGGTGAGGGATTTGTAGGATCAGAATGTCCCTCTGCTTACAGTGTAAAACACCAGAATGGGTGTGACTGCTTCTGATTTTCAGATGAAAGCAAAATTGGAGCCAGAGTACCTAAGGGTAAATTTTAACTTCAGGTTTCTCAAAGCTCTGGGAAGAAAGAGGCGTATTCAGATAAAAGCTTGTTTATCTCGTTCTTTTATTCAAATGAAGCTGCCACAGAGTCAGCTCCGACTCACGGCAACCGTCGTACGACAGAGAGAAACGTTGCCTGGTCCTGCGCTTCTCCACGACTGTTGGTGTGCTCGAGTCCACGGTTGCAGCTGCTGTGTATTTTGAGTGCCCGCCAACTTAGGGGGCTCATCGTCCAGCACTTCTATCTGGCAATTTTCTGTTGTGATCTGTAGGGTTTTCACTGGCTAATTTTCAGAAGTATATGGCCAGGCCTTTCTTTCTAGTCTGCCTTAGACTGGAAGCTCTGCTGAAACCTGTTCACCATGAGTGACCCTACTGGTATTTGAAGTATCAGTGGTATAGCTTCCAGCATCACAGCAACACACAAGCC